AGCATGATCTCGGCTCACGGCAGCCTCTGCCTCCTGTTCAATCAATTCTCCTGCCTCACCCACCCAAGTAGCTGGGATTACAGGCAGATGCCACCACTCCCTGCTGATTTTTTGTATTTTTAGTAGAGGCTGGGTTTCCCCATGTTGGCCAGGCTGGTCTCAGATTCCTAGACTCAGGCGATCCACGCACCTTGGCTTCCCAAAGTGCTGGGATTATAGGCGTGAGCCACCGTGCCTGGCTGGATTCTAAGGATTTGAAGAGTTGTATGACAGGAAATGGGGACAAAGACCAACTATGTATTTCTGGTGCCTGGATTGGACCAGAGCAGTTGGACCAGAGCACGTCCAGGGGAATGAAGCGCACCCTCTAGTGGTCATCTGTGGTGCTTTCTCCTTGTCAGGATTCTGGTCCTCCGACCTCCCAAGAGGGATGGCTGGACACACAAGACGTTCACCCCTTAAAGCGGCAGAGACCATCAGGCTAGAGAACACTCAGAAAGGAATTTTAATCCACTCCTTATTCCATGACTCAACTTTTGTCAACATCCAGGTGGCACTCAGCTTCTGCTGTTTTGTTTCTTCTCACGCAGTCATCCAAGTCATGCGTAAAATGAGGATGTTATCCTTTGTGCCACTCACAAGTGTTAATTAATCCCCATCATGAGAAAAAAAACTGAAGAAGTGGAAACCATAAAATAGAACATTAATAGGTTTTATTACAGGTTTTTTGTTGTAGTTGTTTGTTTTTTTGCCCGGGCACAGTGGCTTACGCCTATAATCCCAACACTTTAGGAGTCTGAGGTGGGCACATCACCTGAGGTCGAGAGTTTGAGACCAGCCTGACCAACATGGAGAAACCCCATCTCTACTAAAAATGCAAAATTAGCCAGGCGTGGTGGCACATGCCTGTAATCCCACTTTGGGAGGCTGAGGCAGGAGAATCACTTGAACCTGGGAGGCAGAGGTTGCAGTGAGCTGAAACCGTGCCATTGCACTCTAGCCTGGGCAACAGAATGTGACTCCATCTCAAAAAATAAATGAATAAAATAAAGTTTATTTATTTATTTATTTTTGAGGTGGAATTTCGCTCTTGTTGCCCGAGCTGGAATGAAACGGTGTGATCTTGCACAGCCATCACTCAGCATTAACTATCACAGAAAACATATGAAAAGTTATTACACATCACCAGTAGTAAAAATATAAGATAAAGAGTTTATTATGGTGAGAGTTTAAGCTGACATAGTCCTTCTGGGGGGTAGTTTGGCATTGTGCAATTGTATCTGTTTGCTAGGGCTGCTATAACAAACTATCACAATCTGGGTGGCTTAAAACAAACAAAATTATTGTCTTGGCTGGGTGCAGTGGCTGACGCCTGTAATCCCAGCACTTTGGGAGGCCGAGGCGGGTGGATTACTTGAGGTCAGGAGTTCGAGACCAGCCTGACTAATATGGTCAAACCCCATCTCTACTGAAAATACAAAAATTACCTAGGTGTGGTGGCAGGTGCCTGCAATCCCAGCCACTCAGGAGGCTGAGGCAGGAGAATTGCTTGAACTGGGAGGCAGGAGAATCACTGGAACCAGGAGGCAGAGGCTGCAGTGAACCAAGATGGTGCCACTGCACTCCCTCCTGGGCGACAGAGTGGGACTCTGTCTCAAAAAAAAAAGAGCAAATTATTGTCTCACAGTCCTGGAGGCTTGAAATCTGATTGAAATCTGAAATTGAGGTGTCAGCAGAACTATGTTCTCTCTGAGACTCTGGATAAAATCCTTCCTTGCCTCTTCCCAGCTTCTGGTGATGGCCAGCAACCCTTGGCTTACAGCTGCATTCACCCAATATCTGCCTCTGTCATTGCGTGGCTGTCTTCACGTTGTCTTCCCTCTCTGCATGTCTGTGTCTGTGTTCACACTTCTCCTTTATAAAAGGACATCGGTCATATTGGATTATTGACCTCATCCTAAATTGATCACCTGCAAAGACTCTGTTTCCAAATAAGGTCACATTTACAATTGCTAGGTATTACAACTTCAAGTTCTTTTGGGGGGAGACACAATTTAACCCATAAGAGTATCCAAATGTAGAACGAATGTACTTTTGACTCATCAACCCAAGTTTTAGAAATTTACCCTAAGGAGATACCTAGACAAATAGCAAAGAGGTTTAGGGTAGTCTTGTTTATAAAAGTGAAAAATTAGAAGCAACTTAGTAGTAGTGCGTTGTATACTAGTTAAATATGTTATTTGATACAATACAATGGAACCAAAAATTGGAGATGTAGTCCTATATTGATTGCCATAGAAAGGTAATCACAACATATTATTGAGTGAATGAAGCAGATCATAAAACACCATGAATAATGATTTGTAAATGCGTATACTTAAATCTACGTTAGGAAAGTTGCAGCTGGGTGCAGTGGCTCACACCTGTAATCCCAGCTCTTTGAGGGCGAGGCAGGCGGATCACAAGGTCAGAAAATCAAAACCATGCTGACTGACATGGTGAAAAACCGTTTCTACTAAAAATACAAAAAATTAGCTGGGCATGGTGGTGTGCGCCTGTAGTCCCAGCTACTCAGGTGGCTGAGGCAGGAGAACCTGGGAGGCGGAGGTTGCAATGATCCAAGATCGCGCCACTGCACTCCAGCTTGGGTGACATCTCCAGACTCCATCTCAAAAAAAAAAGCAAAACAAAAAACAGTGAGTTGGTGGGATGTTCAGATATTTAAATTTTCTTCTTTTTAATGTTTCAGGATATCCAGGTATGTTTGTAAATCACAAAAACAAGAAGTCAGGTTTAAAGAGCTCTGAGAGCAGTATGTGAGGCCAAAGCATTCAGGTGGAACTGGAAGTCATCACGAAGCAAACTTGGCTGCTTTGTTTGTCCTCTATAATAGCCAAGCAGGTGCTGCAGCTCTGCGTTTCCTCACCTCGGCCTCCATGTCATTGAGGTGGGGCCTTTCCAGCTCAGATGGAAAAAGGCAAGTGTGTAAATATTTGGGTGTGTGACAGGGGGCAGCCATCTTTTGTGTATGAAAGGAGTCCCTGGCCACTTCTCCCCATTTCTGGAGGTAAAGATTCCCATGAAAGGTACTAAGAGCATTGGGCCCCTTATCCCCAGAACCCATGAATATGTTATTTTATATGATGAAAGGGACTTTGCAGATATGACTAAGGATTTTTTTTTTTTTTTCGAGACGGAGTTTCACTCATGTTACCCAGGCTGGAGTGCAATGGCGCGATCTCGGCTCACCGCAACCTCCGCCTCCTGGGTTCAGGCAATTCTCCTGCCTCAGCCTCCTGAGTAGCTGGGATTACAGGCACGCACAACCATGCCCAGCTAATTTTTTGTATTTTTAGTAGAGACGGGGTTTCACCATGTTGACCAGGATGGTCTCGATCTCTTGACCTCATGATCCACCCACCTCGGCCTCCCAAAGTGCAGGGATTACAGGCTTGAGCCACCGCGCCCGGCATGACTAAGGATTTTGAAGTGGGGAAGTCATGCTGGATTATCCATGTGGACCTCATGTAATCACAAGGTCCTTCTGAGAGGGATGCAGGAGAGTCAGGGTCAGTGGCAGCGGACGTGCTGGCAGAGGCAAGAGACTGGGGAGATCTGAAGAAGGGGTCTCCAGCCAAGAAATGCAGGCAGTGTTGAGGAGCTGGTAAAGGCTGGGCATTGCATTTTCTCCCGGGACAGGGATGCGGACACCGTAGCGATTTCAGCTCTCACCCTTGAACCTTCTCTCCTCTTCATTCCCAAACATGAGTCCACTAGCCCCATTACTGTTCAAATGACTGGGAGCCACATCAGCCATAATTCTTGTGATTTACCAGTTATAAGAATTATTTTCTGTGGCCTGGCTATTTATTTATTTATTCATCTATTTTTGAGACAGTCTTACCCTGTCACTCAGGCTGGAGTGCAGTGATGCAATCATGGCCCAGTGCAGCCTCAAACTCCTGGGCTCAAGCGATCCTCAGCCTCCTGAGTAGCTGAGACCACAGGCATGTACCACCACATCAGGCGCGTGTGTGTGTGTGTGTGTGTGTGTATTTTCTGTAGAGATGGGTTTTGCCATGTCTCCTAGGCCGGTCTCAATCGATCCTCCTGCCTAGGCCTCCCAAAGTGCTGGGATTATGGGTGTGAACTACCTCACCTGGCCTATAAATGTATTTCTTAAGGAGAATAAATGGGGACAAATCTAAGTCATTTTTTCAGCTTTAAAGGTTAGTACCTCCTCATTCTTCCACTTGGGTAGGAAACTGGATTTTCTGGGAGTGTTGGTAGCTGCTGGTGGTGGATAGGGAGTACTCCGTGAGCAGATGGAGCTTGATCCAAGTGCTCACAAGCACAGCACCCGGCCTGGGCCCTCCTTGTCATTGTGCAGAACAAGTAGCTAGGACTATAGGCATGCACCACCACACCTGGCTAATATTTAAATTTTTTGTAGAGATGAGGTTTCATTGTGTTTCCCAAGCTGGTCTCAAACTCCTGGCCTCAAGAGATTTTACTGCCTCCACAGAATGTAGGGGAAAGGAAACTGCTTAACTTTTGAGGATGCAAAATTATGCAGCTTCTACTTTGTCCTCTTAAGACTCCCACTCAGTGGGCAGGGGGAAGCCAGCCACCGCATAAGAGGCCCAGCTACTCCAAGACCCCGCCATGCTGGAGAGGCCACGTAGAGCCCTGGGTTGGCATCCCCAGCTGAGCTACCAGGCCACAGCCAGTGTAAAGCAGCCAGCCGTGTGAGTGAGCCAGCTTGGACGTCCAGCCCTGTTGGGCTTTCAGATGACATCTGAGCAGCTGCTAGGGAAATGCTGAGTGAGAATTGCCTGGCTCAGTCCTTCGCAAATTCCTGGCCCACAACATCATGAGTAAACCAAGTGGTTATTTTAAGTCAACAAGATTGGGAGTCACTTGTTACACATCCGTACTGGCTAGAACAACTTTTTCACTACCCTCCTGCTCCACTTCCACAGCCCCAGGAACAAAGCCTGATGCCCATCTTGCTGCAAACACTGTACCTGGTTTGCCTCTCTATCACAGCTGAGTGCACACCTGTTTTCTCTTCCCAAGCCTTCACTCCTTCTTTGATGAATAGCAATCCTTTCTTTTGAGAAAATGTCTCCCATAGCCCACCTTCTTTATCAATCACCTTTTTTTTTGGTTTTGGTCAGAGCTGCCATATTTCTGTTTTCACTTCCCACTCCCACATGGGAATGCAGACGGCCTCTAGGAGGTAAAGAAGGCAAGGAAATAACTTCTTCCCTAGAGCCTGCAGAAAGAACCTGTATTTCACATTTCAGACTGCTAAACTTTAGCACCTCCAGATCTGCAAGAGAATATCAAACGTGATATTTTGCTGCAGCAGAAACAGGAAGTGAATACACCCTTAACACCTGCAGCAGTCTCCCAGTACTTCTTTTTTTTGAGACAGACTCTCACTTTGTCACCCAGGCTGGAGTGCAGTGGAGTGTAGGAGGCTCACTGTAGCCTCCCCCTCCTGGGTTCAAGCGATTCTCCAGCCTCAGCCTCCTGAGTAGCTGGGGCCACAGGCATGTGCCATGACGCATGACTAATTTTTGTAGTTTTTAGCAGACAGAGAATTTCACCATGTTGGCAGGCTGGTCTCAGACTCCTGACCTCAGGTGATCCACCCGCCTTGGCCTCCCAAAGTGCAGGTATTACAGATGTGAGACACCGTGCCTGGCCTCAGTACTTTCTTGTTTATGTCTAAGCCAATTCAAGGAAGGCTGCCATCATTTGCTACCAAAACAACCCTTATACAACAATAGCAAATATCCTTCCATCTCCTCCATTCTGGTCCTTGAAGTGAGGTCACAACCATTGTTTGTTGTTTGATTGAGAGCTAAGGGAGTAGAGTAGGAGGAAAGGTTTATTTATTTATTTATTTATTTATTTATTTTTTGAGACGGAGTTTCACTCTTGTTACCCAGGCTGGAGTGCAATGGCGCGATCTCGGCTCACCGCAACCTCCGCCTCCTGGGTTCAGGCAATTCTCCTGCCTCAGCCTCCTGAGTAGCTGGGATTACAGGCACGCACAACCATGCCCAGCTAATGTTTTATATTTTTAGTAGAGACGGGGTTTCACCATGTTGACCAGGATGGTCTCGATCTCTTGACCTCGTGATCCACCCGCCTTGGCCTCCCAAAGTGCTGGGATTATAGGCCTGAGCCACCGCGCCCGGCGGAAAGGTTTATTTTTAAAAATCACGCACAATAAAAAAGGTTCAGGCTCTGAGAATCTGTGAAATTTTGCCTAATTTTGGCTTTCCCCACAGGAACCCACCAGAAAAGTATTCAAATTTGTATACAGCACCCTTGAAGAAACTAACTCCATCTTAGAAAAACACTCCCTTTTACATTTAATACAGCACTTTGCCAACTAGGATAAGATGTTTTGCTTAACAAACAAACAAAAAACTGCATCCAACCAGATAAAGATACCAACAAGCACACTCTTCTACCATCAGCTCTCATCAGAGGACTCTGTAACTATAAAAGATCAGGGCTCGGCCAGGTGCAGTGTCTCACACCTGTAATCACAGGACTTTGGCGGAGGCAGGCGGATCATGAGGTCAAGAGTTTGAGTCCAGACTGACCAACAGGGTGAAACCCCGTCTCTACTAAAAATACAAAAAAAGTTAGCTGGGCGTGGTGATAGGCGCCTGTAATCCCAGCTACTCAGGAAGCTGAGGCAGGAGAATCACTTGAACCCAGGAGGCAGTGATTGCAGTGAGCTGAGATCACGCCATTGCACATCAGCGTGGGTGACAGAGCAAGACTCCTCCGTCTCAAAAACAAACAAACAAACACCAAGGAGGTTAGAGAGAGGAGATGTTTTGTTACCTATGTCTCTGAGTTGTTTTTTAGAAACCTGGACACCCACCAAATGGATCTCCTGGCCTGTAGACTTTAGATAAGGGCAGCTGAGAACTGAACTCTGACTTCTGGTCTTTGTTCTAAATTTCTTCCTGAGGGGCCTGGAGGAAGTCATGCCCAGGAGCCAGAGCTGACATTCTTTTCTGCTGACCCCAAATTTTTAGACAAAGCTTTGCTTCCTGAATCAATTGCAAATGAGAAAATATTTGAAAGTACCTATGACCTGTGGCCCCCTCCCTTTGAGATGCCTTGCCTTTTTAGGTAAAATCAATATATAGCCTGTATGTATCGATTTACAACTTTGCCTGTAACTTCTGCCTTTAAAAATCCTTGCCTGGCTGGGTGTGGTGGCCCACTCCTATAATCTCAGAACTTTGGGAGGCTGAGGCAGGTGGATCACCTGAGGTCAGGAGTCCAAGACCAGCCTGGCCAATGTGGTGAAACCCCATCTCTACTAAAAATATAAAAATTAGCCCAGTGTGGTGATACATGCCTATAACCTCAGCTACTCAGGAGGTTGAGGCAGAAATATTGCTTGAACTCAGGAGGTGGAGGTTGCAGTGAGCCAAGATCATACCACTGCACTCCAGCCTGGATCACAGAGCAAGACCCTGACTCAAAAATAAATAAATAAACAAAAATTAAAAATAAAAACCCTTGTCTGTAAGCCATCGGAGAGTTCAGGTTTTAAGCATGAGCTGCCAGATTCTCCTTGCTTGGCTCCCTATAATAAATGCTCCACTTTCTCTGGCTGCAATCGCCATTTCAGTGGTTAGCTTTGTTTCCAGGCAGACTGACCCAAGTTCATTTTGGTAATAGGACGAGCAAATGTAAGCAAACCAGGGTGGGGAAGAAAGTCAATGCAACTTCTACAGGACAGGGTAGAATATCCACATCTATAAACAAGAATTATTTTTGCATTGCAATCAGTTATCCATACTTTACAGAGAATTGGGATCAGATAACCCAGAAAGACATCCTCTAGAACAGGGGTCCGGTCTGTGGCCTGTTAAGAACTGGGTTGCACAGAGAAGCCTCATCTGTATTTACAGCCACTACCCATCGTTCTCGTGACTGCCTGAGCTCCACCTCCTGTCAGATCAGCAGCAGCATTAGATTCTCATAGCAGTGCAAACCCCATTGTGAACTGCACATGTGAGGGATCTAGGTTGCACACTCCTTATGAGAATCTAATGCCTGATCATCTGTCACTGACTCCCACCACCCCCAGATGCAACTGTCTAGTTGATGGAAAACAAGTTCGGGGCTCCCACTGATTCTACGTTATGGTGAGTTGTATAATTATTTCATTATAATGACAATGTAATAATAATAGAAATAAACGGCACATTAAATGTAATGTGCCTGAATCATACTGAAACCATACCCTGCTGCCCTGCCCTGTGGTCCATGAAAAAATTGTCTTCCATGAAATCGGTCCTGGTGCCACAAAACCAGTCCCTAGTGCTGCTCTAGAGTTTATATAATGCACAGCCTTTTGATGAAACCCAAACTTCTCTCTATATGAGAGATGGCTGAAGCTGAGAAATTCAAAAGAAGAATCAGTAGAACTCTTTCTTTTTTTCGAGATGGAGTCTCGCTCTCTCACCAGACTGGAGTGCAGTGGCGTGATCTTGGCTTACTGCAACCTCTGCCTCCTGGGTTCAAATGATTCTCCTGACTCAGCCTTCCAAATGGCCAGGACTACAGGTGCGTGCCACCATGTCCAGCTAATTTTTTTGTATTTTTAGTAGAGACGGGCTTTCACCCTGTTGGCCAGGATGGTCTTGATCTCCTGACCTCGTGATCCACCTGCCTCAGCCTCCCATAGTGCTGGGATTATAGGCGCAAGCCATGAGCGCCTAGCTTTTTTTTTTTTTTTGAGATGGTCTCACTCTTGTTTCCCAGGCTGGAGTGCAGTGGCATGATCACGGCTCACTGCAGCCTTGAACTCCTGGCCTCAAACGAGCCTCCCACCATAGCCTCCCAATAGCTGGGACTACAGCCATGAGGCACTATTCCTGACCAGGTCACCAGAACTTCTGAGAGAGAAAGGGCATCAGGAGCAGTTTGTAGACCAAGAACAAGAGCCCTCATATTTCTGAGAGATACTAGAGCTTCCCCTGTGAAATTGTTACCTATAATCTGGGTTTCCTGCTGAATTTTGCAATGAACTTCTTTGATATGAGAGATCTCAGGACTTGTTTCAGGGACAGCCAGGAAGGGAGAAGTCAGAAAGCAAGGCTGGATCCCAGAGATTGTGGGCAGGATGCCTCTCAGGTTTTGAGATGAAGGCAAAGCTACAAGGGAGGGCCCCCTTGAGGAGGAGCAGCCTTTGATATTCTCCAGGCCAGGGAGGCCCTGAGGGCTGGGCCTGCTGGGCGGGCTTTGCATTCCCACAGCTGAAGCCAGAAAAGACAAGGTTACCTCAAAGGAGTCCCAGGGATTCCCTAAAAAAAGACTCTGGGGAGGGAATTCCTGCTGGGTGGGGAATTCCTGCTGGGTGGGGGCCTCCTAGAGCCTTTGTGAACATAGTTGTGGGAAGCTCTGCCCACAGTCTCTGCCTTGTCACTCCCAAAGCTAAGTGGGGAGAATAACTCACTTCAGAACCCCCTGAACTGAAGAGAGTTTCAAAAAGTTACAGCCTGGCTGGTGTTGCCAAACCCTGCCTCTACCCTCATCCAGACTCCTCCTGGGGTGCTCCATAAAAATTATGGTCAAAAGTTTGGAAACATTCTCACTTCTACCACCAGATGGTGACCATCGTCCCTTCATGGGCTATTTTTTTTTTTTTTTTTTTTACAGGAAGTCTCATTCTGTCACCCAGGCTGGAGTGCAGTGGCGCCATCTTGGCTCACTGCAACATCCGACTCCCAGGTTCAAGCGATTCTCCTGCCCCAGACTTCCCAGTAGCTGGGATTACAGGTGCCCACCACCACGCCTGGATACATTTTTGTATTTTTATTAGAGACAGGGTTTCACCATGTTGGCCAGGATGATCTTGATCTCTTGCCTCGGCCTCCCA